AAAAAAAAAAAAAAAGAGAGGGGAAGAATTTTTTTCTCCTAAATTCTTTTGTTGAGGGGCCCAACAAGTGGTATCAGAGCTGGATGCACAACAAACTTGGTATCAGAGCTGAGCTGATTCCTAACAACTGGTATCAGAGCCGAAGGTTTCGGCAGGTCCAGCTGGTCAGATAGCGGTACCGGATCCGTGAATATATTTTAAAAATAAATATACCACGATGAAGAGAAAATTATGACGAGTCCATTGGTGCTGTCCGCTCGGAAAGTGTTGCAGAATCGACTTAGTGATGAATAGTAAAATAGTAACTCAAAAGTTGATGGTGAACAGTACTATTGGTGTTACTATTGGTGAGTCCGTTTCCAGTAAGCCCAGCACTATTCACGTGTACAGTTACTATTCAAGTATACTGTTACTATTCATGGTCACTATTCACTTATACTACTGTTCACGTATACAGTTTATGTTGGTGATGATTTTCTGCGCAAGTCAAAATGGACAAGCAACATGATCAGTCTAAATGGCGGGAATTACCATATATGGAGAAATGAGAGATCTCCTTATGGTAATCAAAATGTATTTGTCTGTATTTAGTTGAACTAAATCGGAAGACAAGACTGATGAGGAATGGATTTTCGAGCATGCGTCCAAATCTCGGTTGGTAGATTTGATGATGTTGGTTAGATTTGATGATGAACGGTTTCCTGTAGCACCTTCAGAAATGGTCAGTGGAAGCTCACACAAAGGTTCATTTGTGGGCAAGGCTAAAGACCGAAAAGCTGTACGTGATGCAATGCGAAACTCTCCCAAGACAACTTTGAGTGGTAGTGGAGAATGACAGTACAGTTATTGTGGCAATAAACGAACTACGCCACATGGAGTACGAAAACTTTGGCAAAGAAGGCAATGTACTAACCTGGATCGGATGAAGTTCACCTAGACAAGTGTCCTGATTGTAAATGGCAGGAAAAGCTAAACAGAGTTAGCTTTCAAGATTCCTCCTTCTAGAATGAAGAATGTATTAGAATGCTGATTCATTCAGATTTGTGTAGACCATTGACCGATTGTCATATGGTGGAAATGCGATATTTTGTTGACATTTATCGATGAACCATTCTAAGGAAGACGCTGGGTAATAAGAACATTGAAGTCTTCTAAACCTGGTTGAGAGACAGACAGGCAAGAAGCTGAAGTGTATGCAGATACAGATAATCGGTGGAGAATACACTGGGCCATTTGATTTCTTTCTGCAGAGCATGGCTATTTCGACATCAAACAACCACCTCCCAAGACGCCGCAACTGAACGGTTTCGCTGAGAGGATGAAAGCAGAACTTTTGATGGAGAGAGAGAGTCAGATGTTTACTCTCACATGCAAAGTTGTCTAAAAGATATGGGGTGAAGCGTTACTCACAGTAGTTCGCCGTTCACTCTGTTTCCCTCTACAGTATGATACTCCAGAGAGAGTATGGTTAGAAAAGGATGTTTCCTATGATCATTTGCGAGTGTTTGGCTACAAAGCCTTTGTGCATATCCCAAAGGATGAACGGTCTAAGCTTGATGTCAAGACTAGACGGTGTGTATTCATTGGCTATCGCCAAGACCAATGTGACTATAAGTTTTATAATCCAATCCAAAAGACGATTATAAGAAATCGTGATGCTGTATTTGTTGAAGATCAGACTATTAAAGATATTGAAGCAGAGTGCCAATAGATCTGATGAAGTGCCAATAGATCTGTTTTAATGAAGACTCCAACATGATCATACAGAGAGTCCCTCCAATAAAATGCAGACAAATTGAGATGAAGAATGTTCCACAAGAACGAGTGCCAGAGTTTAGAAAATTACCAGAAGTTTCTAATCAGAATGAACCATAATGAAAGATTAAGGTTTTCATGTTCAAGCCACCAGCATCGAAAGGTTCTCAAACATAAGAAGATCTAGTAGAAGTCTGACAGACCATCTACTAGATTATCCAGTCAATGAGTATGTACTCACACGACTGACAAGGGGAGAACCTGAAAAAGCTTTGAAAAAGCCTTATGGAAATGAAACAGAAGAGGAAACTGGATTGAAGTCATGCAGATGAAATGAAGTCCTTGCATGAGGACGAAACATTTTGAGCTGGTGAAGTTGCCCAAAGGTGAAGTTGCCCAAAGGCAAGAAAGCTTTGAAGAACAAATGGGTGTTCAGGATCAAGCAGGAAGAACACAGCTCCCAATCACGATTCAAAGCTAGACTGGTTGTGAAAGGATTCAATCAAAGGAAGGGTATTGATTTTGATCTTTTCACCAGTTGTGAAAATGACATCCATTCGAACAGTGCTCGGAATGGCTGCTAGTTTTGAACTGGAAATCGAGCAAATGGATGGGAAGACTACCTTCCTACATGGAGATTTGGAAGAAGGAATATACATGGAGCAACCAGAGGGTTTCGTAGGAAAAGAGGATTATGTTTGCAAACTGAGGAAGAGCTTGTATGGTTTAAAGCAGGCACCAAGACAGTGGTACAAGAAGTTTGAGTCTATTATGGGGGAGCAAGGCTACAAAAGACTACTTCAGATCACTGTGCTGTGTCTTCGTAAAAGAAATTCTTTGATGAATGAACTACATTATTCTCTGCTCTATGTAGATGAATATATTGATTGTTGGTCTCAGAATTCTGTCAGAAATTAAATAGCTTGAAGAAACAGTTAAGTAAGTCTTTTGCTATGAAGACTGGGACCAAGCAAAACAGATTTTCTTGGCATGAGATTACAAGGAATCGAAAGAATCAAGAAACTATGGTTGTCACAGGAGAAAAGTACATTGAAAAAGTACTTCAAAGGTTTAAAATGGAGAATTCTAAAGCGGTTAGTTGTCCTCTTGCTAATCACTTTAAATTAAGCTCAAAACAGTGCCCTTCTACCGACGGAGAGAAGGAAGCGATGGAAAAGATTTCATATGCTTCAGCAATTGAAAGTTTGATGTATGCCATGGTTTGTACACAGCCAGATATTGCTCACTCAGTCGGAGTAGTAAATCAGTTTCTTTCAAATCCTGGAAAGGAACATTGGACTATAGTGAAATGGATTTTCATGATATCCAATCACATTTGCAGGGGGAGCCGTGTCGTGGCAAGGGGGAGCCGTGTCGTGCAGTCAAGATTACAGAAGTGTGTTGCTTTCTGTCAAACAACTGAGGCAAAAAGGAGAAAGTCCCTGAGCTGTGGAAGTCTGAGCTGTGTGTCAAAGCGCCAAGAATGGAGAATCCCACCATGTCGTCGGGAGGAGGAGAATTATTGTGGGGTCCCTCCGACATATGGGACCCACATACATTTGAAAAATTAAAACTCACGTTTTTTTTTTAGAAGGAATCAAAGTTGGCAGCGAAAGTTATTCAAAAGTTGGCAACCAACCATGACATAAATGGACTCACACACGGCTCTCACATTACCTCTCTCATAACCTGCCTATAAATAGAGGCAGATGCACCTCAACAAAACACACAACAGAAAGAAAGAGAAAATGTAGCGAGAGAGTTTTCTAGTTTTAGGATGGGTTTCCTAAAACTAGGGGAGAAAAATAGTGAGGAAATTATTTTGGGGTATTTTTGGGAAACACTTTGAGTGCCAATATTTTTATATTACTCTCTTTGTGTACTTAC